TACTATTTGATTCTAATAATGATGATTGGAATATTAGCACATCAGTATTTGATCAAAGAATAATAAACAAAGAGCACATAATTATTATTATTGAAGACACAAAAGGAAATAAATTTGGAGGATATATTCATTCTAAAATTGATAAAGTTGATTGTTATTTAAAGGATATCCATTCATTTGTATTTTCAATAGAATCAAAAGGAAAGTTAGCTGGAATGAAATTGTCATATATGATGCGACAACAGTATACATTTCATTTATATAGTCGACCGAGTATTCTTCTGTTTGCAATTGGAGATGAATTCTATGCTACTAAAAATAATATTGTTATTCACAAAGAAAACAATAAAACAAAGTCATGGCGTAGTGAATTTTCATTTGAATATAAGGCAGATAAAAATTTATTTTGGGAAAATGAGCTTCCAGAATATTTCATACCAAAACGAATTGTTGTTATTCAAATGATTTGATTTTTATTAATTAAATTTTATTTGAAATAATATGTTCAGTGTTTAATTAAATAATAAATAATAAAAAGAATAGAAATAAGAATAAAATAATAAGAAATAATGATGATAATTAATGTATGATAAATGATTATCATGAAATTATTTATTATAAATTAGATTAAATATTCAATATTTATTATTATATTATTTCATTTATTATTTATTATTTCATTTTATTCTTTATGTTTTATTGTTCTTTATTTCTTTTTATTAACTTTTATTTCTTCATTTAATCATGTTTATAATGTTAATATTTCATTGTGTTATTATTTCATTAATTTATTATTATATTCTTTGTTCTTATTTTTTATTCTTTATAAATGTTTTAATTTATATGAATTTATCTTTTTGTATTATTTATATCTAATTTATTTTCATTATTCATTGTTATTCATTCATTATTTGTTGATATAATTGATTATTTAATAATGAGATAGTATTAATTATTATTATTATTTATTTGATTATTTCATTGTAATGTTTATTTTAGAGTTATTAAATCATAACATTATTCATTTCTTCTTATTTAAATATTCATATTCTCACTATTTTCTTTAATAACATCTTTTTATTCATTTTTGATAATAAATATTGATAACAAATATTCGATTTGAATTGTTTGAATTGTTTTTGTATATAATAAAAATGTTTGTTAGTGAAATTGATTTTTATTTTATTTATAACATTTATTCATTCATATTATTTCATTATTATGTTTATTTCAATTATTGTATTTGTGAAATTATATTTAATTTATCATTTTATTTGTTTCTTTTTGTTGTTAATTTAATTAAGATTCAATTAATTTATTGAAGTCTTCTTTTAGTTTGTTCTGCTTCCACATTTCATACATGTGTTTGGTTTACGTAATTTACTGTAACATTTTGCACATGCTTTTGCTGGTGTAGCATTCCCAAGTGTTTTCCCACAAATCAAGCACTTTGATCCCCCTTTTCTACATGAATGACAAAGAAGTGCAACTGATCCACTTTTCAATTCTGATCCACAAAACATACATTCTGTTTTACACCCTGAACAAACTGACATTGTTTGTTTTCTCTTTCTTTTTCTTTTTATATTCTTTCTTTCTTCTTTTATCTTCTTTTGATTTATTAATATCTAATGACTCATAAATACACTTAACATCATTCTGGTTGATGTTTATTGTTTGTAATACATCAACAATACTCTATTATTAAATATTCTAACATTATATATTGTTTAATTTTAATATATAAATGAAATAATGAATAAGAATTTATTGTTAATTTGATTTGTTTCATACCAAATTTCAATGATGAATTATTGTTTGATGTTTGTTCATTTCATTATCATTTAGTATTTCATTTATATTTCTTATTATATTTCTTACTCTTTCATTTACTCTTGTTATATTCATATTTCATTTATTTTATGAATATTCATTATATCACATTAAAATAACATATGTTAATAATCAAAAATGAATTAAATATTTAATTATTTGTTATTATTTCATCATATTTCTATTATTATAAATAACACTATTATTCATTCTATTTATTCTTATTCATCATTCTTATATTTTATTATTTCAATTCATTTATTTCTGATTATTCTTTATTTCATTCTTATTTTGATTTATTTTCTATTCTTTCTCATCTTTCTTACAATTATTCATATTATTTGATAGTTGAATTTAACCAACTTATTTATTATTATAAAATGATGATTTGATGTTATTTGAATCATTTGATTTTTATTCTTTTTATTCTTTATTGAATCATTATTATTCTAATTTATTTGTTATGGTGTATTAGAAATAATTTGGTTATTCATTTTCATTTATTAATTTGTTTTATTATTTCTCTTTATTGTTTGTTAAATATTAAATATTTCATTATATCAATTATTCATGAATAATGAATATTAAATATTATGTTTTGTGTTCTATTATTTTATTATGTTTATTCAATTTTATTCATCACTTATTTGATTTGTTTTTATGATTGATTTTATATGTTATAACTTCTTCATTTTATTCAATTTTATTCATTTCTTTTTATCACAACATTACCATTATACAATTTTATTGTTTTCATTTGTTATATTTTAATACATTATTGAATTGTTGTTATTTATCATCTTTATGATTTATATTATTGAATTTGTTTATTTTATTATCTTATAATCAATCACATCATTTTATTTTCATTTTGAAAGTATTCTGTATGTTTTCTATTGTTAAAAGTATTATTTTATTAATTGTTCATAGAATATGAATGTATGATTAATTAAATATTTATTTTGAATACCACTCTTTTATTTATTTGTTATTAAAGAAAATAAAACATGTAAATAATGAATGATGTTGATAAAATGATTATTATATTATTTGTTTTGAATAATAGTTGTCATTGAAATAACAAATTAAATAGATAAATTGAATGATAATTAATTTGAATATTCAATATCATTTAATTCATTTTATTTGTATGAGTGTTGTTTATCATTAAATGAAATATAAAAATGAAGAATAATAATGTTTTATATTTCAAGTTGAATACTCTTTATTTCTTTATTTCTATTTACTTCATTCTAATTACATAATTATTGTATTTGTTCTAAAACAATCTCCTATAATAGAAAGTTCTGAATATTGTTTAGTGTAGAGTAACAAAAAATAAAGAATCAATAAAGAGAAGAAGAAAAATAAGAAAGAACTAGAACCTTTCTTAGAATCATTTCTATTATACACTCAACTAATTATCAACATTGAATTTGACAAAAACATTATGATGAGGAATATGTTAACATCATGTCAAGTTAAACAAATTGAAAAACTACAATGAAGAATCAAATTAATCAAATGAAAAAAAAATTGAAAAGAAATGGTTAAGAAGTAATGTTATGATGTTTGAATATCTTTTTATGAAACATTTCCACTTCAATCATTATTTTTATCTCTTATTTCATTTTTTTATTAAAATGATATGAATTATATCAATTATATTGTAAATAAAACAATGAAATTAAATAATGAATGATGATATTTCAATAAAATAAAGAAGTGATAAATGGTAGTAATTAATTAACAAACAGATAAAAAACACTTGAAAAATAATAACAATTAATCAATCATTTAAATCAATGAAATAATACATAAATTGAAATAATACATAACTTTTATTTATTATATGAGATTAATACATAAAAAATGGAAATCAATTGAACGACTTAATTATTAATGATGATTATACAATAAATCATTGGAATGATATTTATAAGAAATAATAAATAACTTAAATTAAAATAACAAATAGAAATTAAACAATGTAATTTTGATATAACTTCTTATTTATTAATTACAAAAAGATGAAAAAATTGGTTTACTCTATTAGCAATCGATGAAATTATGTATTTATGTAATTCGTTAAACACTTCCTATTTAATATTATTCAGTTTCTTTTATATTTAATTACTTTTAATTTTAAAATGAGTTTATTAAAACTTATATTTTAACCATTTCTTTTATTTAGTTTATCAATTAAATTATTGTCAGTAATTCTTTATTCTTATATATTTCTATTTCTTACTATCCAAAAACTTTTCTTAGAATTACTTTATGTTCACTTACATCAAATCCTTATCGGTAGTGTTCTAATTTATGAACTGATGTTGGTATAACAAGATTCTGTAATGAAGTACATCCTCTAAAACAATCATTTCCTAATTCCTTAAGTGTTGTTGGTAAATTAATATTTGTTAATGATAAACATTTGCTAAAACAAAAAGCTCCTATCTCAATAATTGTTGGTGGTAAATTGATTTCAAAGATTGATAAACATCCATCAAAACAATTACTTTTTATTTCACAAACTGAACTTGGTATAATAATACTTGTCAATGATGAACAATTTCTAAAACAATTATCTCTTAACACACTAACTGATGTTGGTATATTAACATTATTCAATGAAGAACAATCATTGAAACACCATCGTCCTATTTTACTAACAGATGATGGAATAATAATAGTGCCTAATGACATACAGCCATGAAAAGAATTCTCTCCCAATTCACTGATTGTTGTTGGTATGGAAATATTAACTAATGAACTACATCCATAAAAACAATAATCTCCTAATTTACTAATTGTTGTTGGTATTATTATGTTATTTAATGACCCACATTCTCTAAAACATTCATCTCCTAATTCACTAATTGTTGTTGGTATATTAATTGATTTTAATGATGCACATTCTTTAAAACATCGATCACCTAATTTAGTAATTGTTGTTGGTATATTAATTGATGTTAATGAAGAACATTCACTAAAACAATAATCTCCTAATCTATCAATTAATGATGGAATAATAAATTCATTAATACCTTTCTTTTCAATGCTTTTTCCATTTATTGTTTGTAAGTTTTCTGGTAATTTAAAACTGATCAACATTGGTTCATTAATAAATACTCTTTCTTTACTAATAAATTTCATATCTTCAATATTGATATTACTCATTGATGAACACCCTAAGAAACAATTATGTCCTAACTTACTAATTGATGTTGGTAAATTAATATCATTCAATGATGAACATTCTTTAAAACATTCATACCCCAATTCTTTCATTCTTGTTGGTATATTAACTTTACTTAATGATGTACACTTTTTAAAACAATCATTTTCTATTTTACTAACTAGTATTGGTATAGTAATACCTGTTAATGATGAACATCCATAAAAACAATAATATCCTATTTTACTAACTGTTGGTGGTATATTAATTGTTGTTAATGATGTACATTCATAGAAAGATTCATATCCAAGTTCTCTAACTCCAGATGGAATAACAACATTTATTAATGATATACAATTCTCAAAGCATCTACCTCCAATTGATTTAATTTCCTTTGGTATTTTAGTTCCATATGTATTTCTATCTGACTGTGTATACCCAATGTTTTTATATTCAGTCCATTCTTCTTTTTCTTTTAAATACGTTGAATAATCCACATAATACCAAATTACATGTTTGGTTATTTTTTCATCGTTAAACATTTCATCTTTTCTATTATAAATATGAAATGTTTCAATATTAGGAAACAATTTTCTTGAATAATGATTTAAAGGAATTGGATTAAAACGAAATCGTTCCATATTTCCTTGAAATCTTTTAACACCAATTTCTAAATTAATAAAATCATTAATATCATCAAAATACTTTGATGTTATCATTATTTCATTGTATCCTAATTTCATCCTTTCTGTACTATTTTAATAAGTTCTAATTTCTTAGTTATATTTAAGTTATTAATGGGAAAAGAAGTTATTCAAATTCAATTTGATTTATACTAAAAAATAACACAAAGACACTCTAATTATTTTGTATATCTCCAATATTAAAACTGAAGTAATTCTGTGCTATAATATCTTCTTTTAAGAATGTAATTATTGTTTGAACTAAACTAAATGTTATTGTTTTAATAATTAGATTTTTGTTAAAACAATGTTTGTCTCAACAGATTTCATTTCAATCAATGGCTCTATACTAATCACTAAAATAAACTATAATACAATAAAATTGTATCTTGTGGTTTTAACAAAATTTGAATACTTCTGGTTGTAACTCAAACAATCTTTTAGTAATAATTTATTTAAGTTTGGTAAAAACTTTCTTGATAATTTTCATTGAAGTATACATTTCTTTCTTACTAATACTATTTAGTGTGTGTTATTCATGTTTATTATTATTTATTAAACTTATATTCTTTTTAACAACATTGATAGAGAATTATTGGTATTTAAATGTATTTTGGTTAAGTAATATCAACTTTTTAAAATTGATCACATATTATTCTTTTAATGGTTTATATTATTGTTATGTTATTTTATTAATAGTGTATCTAATATATTACAAAACAACTGTAAATAACTGTTTAATTGTTTGATGTGGTATTCTTTTGTTATTTTCATTCATTCATATACTATATAAAATCAACTCATTATATTTTATAATTCTATTCTTTTTATTCATTATTTGTTGAAGAGTAACTTATTTATTTAATTAAAAAGAACATGAAATATAGAATAAATAAAGAGTAGTCATTCTAACAAACAATGATACAATAAATTGATATAATTTATACTTAAAGAATAAAATTATTCATTTTATTGTTTACTTGAAACAAATGTTGATTAATTTAAAAAATTTAAGTCAAGTTCATTTTAATTTGTTTATTCTTTTTATTTGTGACAAATACTATAATATCCATTGTTTGATGGTAATGTTAGAAACATTAAATTTATTCAAATTGAGAACAGTTAATAGTTTATAATGTTTTATTATATACATTATCACCATGAATTAAAACAACTGAATTAAAATTGAAAAGTTAGATGGTATAAAACAATTAATTAAAAGAACTGATATTATTAATAATGGGATTTTTGTTGATAAATTATATGAACAATACCATCTCTATAATAATTTAGAATAAAATCATTCATTTATTGTTTTAATATAAATCAATAGATTAAACTAAGTGAGAACTTAATAACATAAATAATTTGTTATTATCAATAAATGATCTATTGATACATCACCCTCTTAAAAATTTAATAACAGTATTCTAAAATGTGATTATGTTCGTTTTATACAGTATTCTTCTTCATTGTTATACATTCTATTTAAACTATTTTGAATTGTATTTTATCTATTACATGCTTTACAATATAAAACATTATTTATAACCTCTAAAACAATATCATTGATGTAACATACTCCTCTCTCATTTTATCATTTGTTTTACTTATAACTCTTATCACCTATTCATAGAACCAACACAATAAATATTCTAACGAATACATTTTTGTATTCATGAATTAATCTAATTATAAACATATTCTTAATCACATCATTGTTTCAATGTTATGAAGATATGTTATAATTACAAATTATTTAATAAAATAGCTAAATTATAACTAAACACCTTCTGTAATTAACAGTATTACAATAACTGTTTTGTTCTCATTCAGAACTAATATTAAACACTAACTCTAAAGGATAATAATCACATTCTTCTTTAAACTAATAATTTGAATATTCAATAAAAATATTTATGAAAATCTAAAAGATAAAAATAAAAACGGGAAAGTATCCTATTTAAAGAATGAAACAACTAATAATTGATAGTTTATAATGGATAACATAAAACTTGTTGTGATTGGTGATGGTGCTGTTGGAAAAACTAGTCTGTTGGAGACGTGTGTAACCAAAAAATATCCAAAACAATATATCCCAACAGTGTTTGAAAATTATCCTGACTTTATTTTTCAGTATAAAGACAAAAAATATAAGATGAACATATTTGATACAGCAGGGGGAGAGGATTACTACATGCTTAGACCACTCATATACCCAAACACAGATGTGTTTTTGTTATGTTATTCTATTGACAACCCACGGTCATTTGAAAATGTTAAAAGTTATTGGTTGCCAGAACTAAAGAGATATGAACCTGAAGTCCCTATCTTTCTTGTTGCAACTAAAATTGATTTATTAGAAACTAATGACAAAGACTCTGAGATAATTACAACAGAGCAAGGACATAAAATGGCAGAAGAAATTGGTGCATTAGACTTTATTGAAGTATCTGCATTGAATGGAACTAATGTAGATGATGTATTTGGTCATGTCGTAGAAATAAATGAAGCTCATAAAAAGAACATGAAAGCCTCTAACAATGGTCAATGTTGTATTTGTTAATTAACTAACTTTTCTTATTATTATATTGTAAGAATAATATCAATAATTCATTCTCAATACAGACCTTGTTCCACTTTTGTTATTTGATTTATTCTATTAGAATTTATTGGTAATTAGTGTTAATATCTCTTTGTATCTCTTCATTATTTGTGATGTAAATTCTTTTATGTATGTTGAATTGATTAAACCACAATAATTTTATTTTAATCATTTCTCATCCAAAATAAAAGTTGATGAAGATGAGTATATGAAATGAAATTGACATATTAATTGAGTGTTTTCATAAAGGTTTATATGTTTCATAGTTCATTTTAATACAACAACCATCCTTAAATCATTACATTGTAATTATACTATTTGAATAAGATTGTTTCGTTGACAATTGTTTAATATGGTTAATAGATTGAAAGAAACAAAAACAGATGAAATGAAATAAAATCAAGTTTTTCTAATGTAAAACAAAGCCTTGAGTGAATTAGTACAATAAAAAGATATTGTGTTAAGATGGAGAAATTAAGAGTGTAATGAATCCAATCAATAACAAACTCAATGAAAGTGTAAAATAATAAAAATAATAATATTTATTCATATAAACATAATGTAAAAGTATACAAACAAACAAGATGAAAGAACAAAAGAAAATGATAATAATGAAAAGTATTTAATAAAAAAATTATCAAATTTATTTATTTCAATAATAATTATTAGTTCATAATCAAAAAAACACTCTTTTTCAATGAATTTGAATAAGAAATAAATTACATAAATTTATTTTATTTTAGAATAATTTATTCAGTAATAATTAAATTCAAAAATTAAAAAGAAAATTAAATAAATGAAATAAAAAAACAAAAAAAAACTAAATTTTCATTTTATAGAAATCAATGAATCAAGAATATCCATTAATTGTCTCATTCTTTGAAATTGATAACCATACAGAACTTCCTATTCAAAGTTTTCCTTTTAAATCAGAAATAGATAAAAGTTTCTTTAGATTCTTTTTTCCTATTGCACCATCTTATCTTCATAGTTCATTTCTTTGTATAAATTCTCAACAACAAAGTTTTTGTTATGTTAATCAAACAGAAGAATATACATTTGTACTTATTTCACAATATCTCCATTGGTCATTATTTATAAATATTCTCCTTCATCTCATTCAACTCCCTTCACCTCAAAGAATTTTATTCTTATCTTCATTACATAATTTAATTCCATTACCAACATTAAATCAATTAAATTATCCTTTATTCTCATTTTATACAGATTTACCACAACCAATAAATCAACCTAGTTCTGGATGTCTTTCTTCATTACTTTGTCTTCCTATAACTCAATTAATTATGTTATTTTCATCAATATTAAATGAAAGAAGAATTATTATTCAATCAAATTCACCACAAAAAATAACAGAATTTATTATTTCATTATTAGAAGTATTTTCACCTTTAAAATGGCAACATTTACTTGTTCCATTTCTTCCAATAAAATATACTGAATTAACAGAAACACCAACACCATTTATTATTGGAGTAGATCCTTCAATTATGGAAATTATTGATTTATTTGATATTATTGTTTTTGTAGATATTGATAAAGGAATTATAAAGAGTACAAATTCAACAATAATTAAATCAGATTATGAATTAATTCCAAACAAATGGATAAATTCAATTAATAATACATTAAAACCAATTTATTTACACTCTGAAAAAAGAGAAAATGAAAATATAATAATTAAAAAAGCTTTTAATGAAGTAATAAATTGTTTTATTAAAGATATTGAAATAAGAATTCGTTCAATGATAGAAACAAATACTGAATATAATATAAAAGAATTTTATAAAGATTATTTCTTCCTTGGAGAAGAAAGAAAATTTATTGAAATGTTTAGTAAAACTGCTGCATTTGATCAATTTGTTCTTGAAACTGAACAAAAATATAAAAGTGAAGGTATTAAATTAAAAAGAAAAACTTCTTTTCTTTCATGGTTTAATAAAGAAGAACTTATTGATGTTGATAATGCTACTCTTATTACTCCAACAAAAGAAAATCAACAATTATTTAATCTATTATAAAGATTTGTAGAATATTTTAATTTGATAATCTAAATTTAAATTATCTTTTCATTTATCATTTATCTCATCTAAATAACAATCTCTTAGATTTTTTCTATCTTTTTCTTTTAATTAACTTTAAAATAAAAATTATTTATTTATTATTTTATTATTATTATTTATTATTAGATCCAAGATATTCATTATATTTATATCCTATGAATATCTTCCATCTGTTCATCATACTTTCTACAATGTCTATGATGACACTTTCTACATTAAAATATTTTAGTGATTCTATTACCCATTCATGATTTACTGATTCATATGCTTTCTTAATGTCATAATATGACTCTACATATTTTGGGTATTTCTCTTCTTTTTGCTGCTTTAACATATAACTATTAATTAATCCTTCTTTATCAGCAAGAGATTGCAGTTTACATCATAACTGATTTTTATTAATTTTTAATGATTCATTATTCATGTTAATTCTATTGTGAATATTCTCTTTTAATAAGGAGGTAAATACTTTCATTATTACATTTGTACAACTGATATGACGATAATTAGTGACATCGTTCCTATCACCTCCTTTGTGGATTAATATAGTTCTTCCACTTACCATGTCTAGAGGGATGTTTTCATTGAAGTTTAACAATTCATTGAAGATATTAAGAATGGAATCTCTTGATAATGACATTCTCTTCCAATAATACCCATATATAGTGTCAATGCCTGGTGCTTTCAAATTACTTATTTTCATCAGGCTTAAATTAAATCATCCATTGTGATGATGACACTATCATAATTTCTATATCTTTCATTTCACAATGTGATTTGATTTATTTTCAAATGTTCTTTATTTAATATCACATGTGTTTCATATAATGATTTCAAATATTCTAAAATAATATCGTTATTTGGATATATTTCATTTTGTGTTTCTTCTTTATTTTAATTTTGTTATTAGAATCAAACATGATTTTATTTGTATTGATTCTGACATTTTCATTCTTATTAAATTTAATTCTTTCTTTAATCATTATCATCATATATTTTAGATACTTTATTCTTTCTTGTGATTTAATTTTAATTTCATCTGCATCTTGTTCATTTAATCTCATGATGTATTTTATTCTGTACCATTCCATTGATTAGATATTCTAATCTATTTATTTTCTTTATGATTTCTTTTATTTCATCAAAATTATCTCATTTAAATTTATTTTAGAGATAATAATACATACAAATTGAAATCCTTTTCATATCTTCTTGTAGATTTTCTATTCTCCTGACCACACTCATTTATTATTAATTTCTCTTATTAATTTATCTGATTCTTTCCTTTTCCAGTAATAATTAATATTTACACATTTATCTATTTTCATTTCTTTAAGTTAAATGATGATAGAGTTAAGATATTCATCATCAATATCAGTAGAGTTATTTTTTATGATAATATTTTTTATTATTGGGTTACACTCTACTTTACCTTCTATGATGGAGCTCATTTTCATTTTGATGTGTCTTTTAGTTGTTTCTTTTATTTTATGTGATAATTTAATATTATTAATGTATTCTTTATCATTATTTACATTAATGTTTATTACTTTTATTATATTTTCTATTTGTTCATTTCTTACTTTTTTATTTAATTTCTTGTTTAACAAATTAATTGCAAAACAATACAACACATCAATTAAAATTCTATTTGTTTGATTTGTTGTGTTTTCTTTTCTTCTTGATTGATTATTATTTCTTGTTTTTTGATATTCAGTGTTTCGCTCTCTTCTTCTTCTATTTCCAGAATTGTATTTTTCATAATTATAGTTTTGTTCATTTGTATTGTCCACGATGATGATGTTCTCAGTATTTGTTGGTATTTATCATTAATATCATTGTTTTCTTCTTCTCCAGTTCCTTCTGGGATAAAAAATTTTCGATACTTTCTTGTTGCTTGATATTAATTGTTTTGTCTTCATTTCTCTTTGTGTATGGTCTAATTCTTCTTTGTT